AAAAAAAAAAAAAAAAAAAGAAAAGAAAAGAAAAAAAAAACAAAACAAAAAACAAAACTGGAGAGGGAGAGAGAGGGGTTTAACTCAAAACAAAGCAAAGCAATGCAAAGCAAAACAAGACAAGAGAACAAACTCCCCTGGCATGACATTGAGTGGTTTCGGGGACGAGAACTTCCGGAAGCTTGTGAGATGTTCCCTGTCGAAGGACCACAAATATGGATTCACTTTCCACAGCTCCACTCCTCAAGGGAGCAAAGACTTAGTAACTACAGGTCAGGCAGTAGAAAAGCGGCAAAACAAAACAAAGTAACATTAAAGTTAGCGTACAAATAAATGTCTTCTACCTGTTTGAAATCCTTTCAAGTATCCAGCACGAACAGTTAAGCTCCTGTGTCTTACCTTTGTTCCCCTTTCAAAGTTTGTCATATGATATGACATAAACAGTATTTCCACTTTGTATTTATTTATTTATTTGAGACAGTGTCTGGTAACATAGTTCAGGCTGGCCTCAAACACACTGTGTGGCCCAGGCTGGCCTCAAACTCATGGTGATCCTCCTGCCTCAGTCTCCTGAGTGCTGGGAATAGAGGCGTGTGCCAACACGTTGTCTGAGAATAGCATTTCCACGGCCATTGTTGCATGTGAAACTTCTCTCTGTTGCCTTTTGGAAGTTGGTGAGACTCCAAATGATGGAAGAGGAAAACAGCACTTTGTAGCAGCAGGAGGGTTGGAGTCTAGGAGCTAGAGTCATGGGGACCTGCTACGAGAAATATTTTACAGAGTGTGGAGTGTTTGGGAAACCAGTGTCTGCCAAGATACATCTGGCTGCTGATGAATCCTGCCAGGTGGTTTCCTCCTGGCTGCCAGCGTGCTGTCAGACAGTGCCAGGCTGTGTCCTGGTGTATATGCTTTCTCCTGTGCACGGCTGGATTGGATTACTCTCCTTTGCTCACTCTTAAGAGCGTCTGTCTGACTAGATTTCCCTCAGTGCATGCTAATTCCTAATAGACTGATCCAGCTTGTTCGTTTTTTTAAATCGTAGTCAAAACACTTTTAGGTGGGTCAGCAATGAAATGATACTTCATTTTTTATTAGTATATTTTTATGAGTACACGTGTGCAGCACATACTGATCACATTTATCCTCGGAGTTTGCACGTGTAAGTAACACATCTTAATCCTTTTTTGTCCCCTTCCCCTTCCGTCCCTCCCACCCCCTCTGACCCCGATCTCCTTCCCACCTGACAAAGCTGTTTCTATTTTTCAATCTGAAAAGGCTCTCCCTACTTCCTCTCTCTGGCCTCTGCTTTGCTTTTCATTTATATTTTGTGTTTCTCATGTAACAAAAACCGTGCAAGTCATCACGACCCATGCTCAACGCTGCACAAGTCATAACTGCTGAACCTCGGAAACGGCCTGTCTGTCCGCCCACAGAGGGATGGACGGAGAAAATGTGGCTTTCCCACACAGCGAGGCTTCTCTAGGTAAATGGGTGCACCTGGAGATCATACTGTGAAGTGAAAGAAACCAAACACATAACAAGTTATGCTTCATAACAGCAAAGTCATCAAAATCTGGGGAGAGGCTGGGAACGTCCGTTCTAATAAAATGGAAGGTGAAAACACGTGCCAGTCCCTTGCAGAAGGCGACACGTCTTTTGACTCCAGAAGCAGCGGAAGCGGGGTTTGTCAGCGCCTCCTGTGCACACAACACTCCAAACAAACTGCTCGAGGTAACCTGCCCATCAGTACCCTGAGGAAGGGGTCAGCACTCTCCCTTTCAAAATTAAGTAACCTGCTCATTACGATGGCGACTTATACAGGCGGCAGAGTAGACGAGGGCTCAGGACAGAAACTCAGCTGCTCTTTCGCCACTATTCTGTGTTTCCTTCCAGAGTGAGATGGACCAGAAGATCCACAGAGAATTTCTCAAAAAAATGTTTAAAGTTTGTGTGAGCTCTGGTCCTCCCTGCGGCACAGCTGGCCTCTCCTGTCCCCGGAGGATCGTATGTCTCCTCACCAGGCTTGGTCCTGCCTTCCTGAAAGCAAGCTGTGCCCAGTTCACTAACAGTGCAGGAGTTTTTCCAGTTTTTCTCCTTTACCTCCACACACAAATGTATTTCTCCTGGAGAAGAGAGAGAGCTTTGTTACCATCTGGTCCTATCCCAGAGTCACCAGACTGTAGGCCTGAAGAGCTTGCATTCCCTGGGATTTCATTTGCTGCCGTAGGTCGGTCCCACCACCCAGACTCGAGCGGCCCTTCCGCTTTGGGTCACATCCACCTTGGCCACCTCTGTCCTCCATGAGCTTCTCGGCTGAGTTTCTTTCAGAAAGAAGGTAGTGAGGGTGCCGCTCAGAGACATAGCAGTGTTAGAGCCTCTGTCGCAAGCCCTTAGAAAACTGTAGTCCTGGTCACATCTGCAAGCTGGCAGGAAGAGTTCTTCCTGGTCCAAGCTGGGCAGTGCTAATGGGTCCAGGGCATCAGTGTGTCTTTTCTGGTTACCGTGAGCCAGGCATCAGCACCAGGCAGTGTTACCAGCAAATGGGCATTTTTGTGCCATTTGTACAAATTAACTCCCCTAATTGGCTTAGTAGTAAAAATGCACTCAGGATGAAGACATTAGAATGATTACCTGGAAAATTACTACCTTGGTGGATTCCCCCTTCCCCTTTTGCCTCTTAAATGTGCCAAGAATGAAAGTGCTGTGATGACACTGTCAGGTCTTTGAGCATGAACCAGTGATGAGTGGCGAGGGCCCTGCAGCCTAGCAGGGCGCACTCCGCTTGGAGTCTGTGGACCCCGCTTGGCACGGGGTGGCCCAGAAGTGATTTTCTGTATCCAGAGAATGACTTCCTGGTGTGTGTTCAAGCACCTTCTCCAGCACAGGCTGCACAATTATGGCTTAATGAGTTTTTCATCAATTAGGGCGGCTAGGAGGGTACTCCGAGGGTGTGGGGGAGGCCTGCATCTCAGACTTGAAGGCTTCTAAATTCCACTTGTTTACCCAGCCTACAGACACAGCTTCATTATTTTTTTTATGAACCCGAATATCTCTGTGCAGAGCTACAGAAAGATGAAACACTCCCATCCCCGGAGAACTTTACTCTCTCTTTGGATTTCCCCATGTGTTAGGGCTGGGCATATGAGGTGTTTTCCAGGATGTGTAGAGAATTTCCATCTCTCCTGCAGTTTTATTCTGTTCTAATACATCACATGAATGTGTTACTCTTGAAATAAAATGCATTCCTTCTGCACCTGTTCTCCTAGGCTCCTGTCAGATCAAATGTGAAGAGAAGTCAGAAAGCAGAGTGTGTTCCGAGTTACTGATCGATGGGCGATGATCCGAATTCTCTCCCCAAAATGGGCATAACCGTAAGTATCAGGCGAGTTTAAGTTGACAAGTCCTGACCTTGTCATTCGTTAGAGTGACGAAGTGGCTTTTTAAATGCTCATGTGCGGGCCCACTTTAGCTAATTAAACCAGTATATCTGGGAGGTGGGGTCAAGATTTCTCCCAAACCCCCAGATGTTTACTATCGGTGTGCTTTGTGAATGCAAACCCACCTCCCGGGTGTGCTGGGCTGCCTCCCAGAAGCTGGAGACACAGTGAGCAGTTCAGACAAAAATCCCTGCCTTCATAGAGCTTATATGCTAGTGAATTTGGACTGACAACAAATAAGATGAGTGAATACAGAGAGGGTGGGAGAGGGTGACCTTGGCGTACAGACCTGAAGAAGTCGGGGAGACCCTACAAGCAGAAGGGGCAGCAAATGCAGAGTCGTGAAATGCAGCCCGTGCCCACTCCACAAAGAAGCGGGAGGGGAGACAAAGGACATCTGTTGGTGTGAACCGGCCAGGTCCGCAGTCTGGGCACAGGACGCGTGAGGTATGAGAGGGAACCAGGACGTGGGTGCCCACGCGTGCCCACTGGATGGAGAGCACGGGCCCGCCAGAAGCAGCGGGCCTGACGGCAGCCGGCGAATGCACATGGGATGGCTAGCGGCATCCCTGCCTGGGGAAAAGCGGGAGCAGAAGGCGGGTGGGTGGAGGGCACCGGACAAGGCGGGTAAGCGATCGGGTGCGAGGGACCCTCGGTGCCCGGGGAGCTGGCGAGGAGTCCGCATCGAATGCTGTCCGGGCTTTGAGAAAGTGGGCGTCCGGGAGCGCTACTCCCCCCAGCAGGCGGGGTGAATGGGTGGCCCGGGGGCCTAGTTCCTATGTTCTGCCGAGGAACTGTGACGGAGGCAGAGTGCGACTGTGGGCTCCGGAGATTTGGGCCTCTCACCCGAACCACCGGTGACGACTGAGCAGGCGCAGGCCCGAACTGCGAGTTTGGATGGTGAAGCTGGATTCCACACACAGCCGTGAGCTCCCCCGCGCTGTGCAACCGTCACCTCTTCATCCAGCGCCGCCCGCCATGGCGACTGCTTCCCCGGCCTGAGCGAGGGAGGACACCGCAGATACCGTGGGTCCCCGCCCGGTGGTGCGAAGATGCGGGCGATGACTTAGGCGAGAGTGGTTCTAAGTGTTAACATTCGGTGCCAGGTAAGGCACTATGTTAGCAATAATGATAGGACAAATTGAGGTACACGGGAGTTCAGTGTTTGCTAAAGCCCCGCTGCCTTTGTCATACGTGTGTATGGCAAGGTCACTCTTGTAGATCAGTATCTTGATGTAAAAACTAACTCTGTACAGATGCACATTCAAGACTCTGCAAGGTTAACACCGAAATAAAAGTGCTGCTGATATCCGAGGCTCAGCTTTTTATTCTTTCCTTTTATGTAAATGCTGTTATTTATATTCTTTTCATACAAACATTAATATATTTTAAATATTTAGTCGCTATGTCATTCAGGTAAAAAAATAAAGCTTACTTTTAAAAGAAGTGTGCCCTTGGTCCAAAGCAGGTGGATGGATAGCATGTTTGAAGGTCGGTCACTGGCAATCAGGGCCACTTCTGAGTCTTCAGGCTCCACCCAGGACGGGCAGCCGCATCCGCACTCCTGCGTCTGGTCGGTGTGGCCAGCTGCCCACGGATGCACGCTGAACGGAGAAATCCACAGGCCAGACCACAGGTGCCACTGCTGTCAGAGCTCAGAGGCATCACAGAGAAGGGTGTGTGTGTGTGTGTTTCTTTTCTGCTTCAAATATCAACTCTTGGGGGGCAGGACAGACAGAGAAAAGAAGAGGAGGAGGAGGAGAGGAAGGGAAGGAGGAGGAAGAGGGAAGAAAGAAGAGGAGAGAAGAAAAGAGACGGAATTACGATGAGGCGGACAGTGTCTTCAGACCAGAAAACAGGGCTGGCGGTGAGTGCTTCTGGACTTCGGCTAATTCATCATCGGCAGAACTTCGCCAGTCAAAGAAAACTAAGCCCGGGCAGTTGGCAAGCCAGCCCTTGACAAGGAGAGATGGGGACACAGCAGAGCGCCCTCCTGCCCTCAGCCACACACTGTTCTGAGTGGGTGTCCACGCTCCCCGGGCACTGCCAAAGCAGGGTGCAAACTGTCAGGAGCTGTGGGCATCCAGAGGGCCAGCGAGGGAAGGACTCAGACGAGGAGGCTAGAGCCGGCCCAGCCGGAGCCTGGCAGGGAGCAGTTCCGCGCATCAGTAGGAGATGCTCTTCCGAGGTCTGACTTAGGAACAGCTGAATGTGCGGAGGGTTACAGTAGAGTGGCTACTCTGTAGTTGTACGGAACGTGTGTACCAGAATGAGCTGGTGTTGAGAGAGTTTGAGTGTGTACCAAGTTGCTCTGGCTTCCCTCTTTCGGGTGTGGTGCTTGGGTCGTGCTCCCTGGGGCAAACACATTTCCGAGGAGAAATACGTCCTTCTGGAAATAGTGTGTGTGCTTCTCTTTGTGCATTCTACTCCCCAGCCAGTGATCTTTAGTTAGAAAATGGTTTTCTATCAGAAACCAATCAATAAACTCTAGGAAATGTTTCTGGGGCTTGCAGCAGGGCTTTCTTCTCATTTCTTTGTCCCTTAGAGACAGATGCTGACAAAGCTTTCCCTTTCTTCTTGTCCGCACAGCCAACCTTACACCATGTGGATGGTCCCTGTTTCCCAGAGATCTGGAGGAACATACACATCTCACAGATGCCCAATAGAATGCTTTCCCCAGATAGTCTCAAATCTTCCTGAGTGTGTCCATTTCATCTCCAAGAGACACACTCTTTATGAACAATGCATCTTTTACTATCAGCCACATTTCCTTTCCCTGTCAAGAGTTTTACTCATTGGATCAGAGAGCATGACCTGAGAAAGTGACCCACGCATATCTTGGATGGCCTTTTCCAAAGCTGGTGTGAGATGTGGGGGTGAGAGCCACTTTGGGTTCTTTCAGGCTGTTCACTGGACGCAGAAGGCAAGGGCACGGCCAGCATTTCCATAACTTCCCTTTAGATCTTTCTTTAGCATCACAGTCACCCCCAGGACACAAGAGACAATGAAGAAACCCATTCTGGTCTGGGTGAATAGAAGAAAAGAAGAAGAGAACTTGCCCGAAGGCCCAGAGTGGGTTTAGAATTAGAAGCTAGAACTTACTTACACGGACCCTCTGATTCCTGTTTAATGCCTGCCCTTTTGGTTTGGTTTCTATACTCTTGTCCTGTTTCTTCCGCTATCCAATTGCTGAGAACTACCTCACACTAAGAAAGCACACAGGATACAAATAAGAACCTTTATTGCAAATCCTAGTCAGTTGGCCACCATGGGCCTTAGGAAAAGACTACAGAGAAGGGGGAAAGCCAAAGTGTAGTCTTGGCCACTGGTCTTTTAGGAAGGATTTTCTTCATAACATCACCCGATTTTCCTTCTTGCAAAACACTCGCTCACTGTAAAGAGTGGGAAATGGCAAGGGGTGTGTGTCCTCATTAGATTTCTCTCCCCCACATTTCTTTCAGGAAAAAATAAAAATAACTCCCTTGAAATGCCTTTTATGTTGGTAGTTGTTTCAGCAAAGTATGAATAAAATAAGGAGAAATGGAAGAATATATCTAACTAGTAACTCAGGTTTGGTTTCGAGCATGTTCAGAGCAGGCCAATGACCCTGAAGTGCTGCTAGAAAGCTGGCTATTGGTTAGTGTGATTGGTGATTTGTAAACTAAGTTTGGACTCAGGATTTTGCTTCCCTTAATAAAGGAGTCACACTGCATTGAGCAGGACTAGGAGAGCACAGTGTCCTGTACAAGTAGAACAGGCTAATGCACAGACAGCACCCTGGCTGTCACGTCCCCCGTGATTGTGACAGGGTTTACACAAGAGGCTGGGTTTCCATGAAGGCTAAATACTACTTTCAACTCCACAGTCTTAGAATACCAGGAGTCTTCCCATCTGTGAAGTACTAAGGTGGACAATCCAATTAACAGCTTTTCTTCTAATACTAGTTGAGCAGATGGTTCCCTGCCCCCCGTTGTTTGGAAAATCTTCATCTTTAAAATAATTGTGTGGAATAATGTTTTTATTCTTTTGACCCCTCTGTTTCCTGGTGACAGGATGAAACTACCCTGCTCTTTGGAGGCTGGGCTCCTATGGAGTTGTCTCATGTGCACTGGCCGAGTATGGGTAGAATGGAAAGGTCATGTAACAGACAGTAAGCCACCTGCAGGCCACCCTGGCTCGCCCACTAGCCAGCTCGATAGCCTTACGCTCGTCCTGTCCCCTCCCTGGGTCTCCCTTTCCTCACCCATGAGTCAGGGATCCAGGCTAGACATTATTTATAGTGTCCAAGCCTTGCATTCTATAAATTCTAAGCAATGACATCTCCCAGAGAGTCTGAGCTAAGTAGAAACTTCACATCACACAGCTCCAAATGCCATGCAATTAATTATGGAATTCCAGCAATCAACTCCCTCTCTGCTCTCCACCCCCTGCCTGCCTGCATTAATGACATTTTCAGAGCCTTCTGTTTGGAACATGTCAGGCCTGGCTAATTGGCATCTTTCCATCAATGTGAAAAGGAGCCAAAGGATCTCTGCTTAGAACTCTCTGAATTCTTCTCTGTGGGGTGGGAGCAGGAATATGTCCCCGGCTTCTGATCCTCCTCCAGCATTGAAAAGTCTATCCTTACTGCATTAGCTTTTTTTCCTGTGTCTTTAGGATGTGGAAATGTTGAGCAATCACACCAAAGATGGCATTCTACATTCCATGGTGTCTATGGATACCCTGTACCAATTTAGAGTCAGGCACCACAGTGCCCAGAGTTTAAGAAGGAGAGCTGGGGAAGTGCTCTTACTGTTTGTTCTAGTTTCATGCAGGGTTGAGGAGCAGGAACTCTGGAAGACATGCGCCTTGGCTTGAGTGTTTATTTGCTATGGAGTTAGCCATGTTGCAGCCGGAAATTGACTTTCTCTGCCTGTTTTCTTCTCAGTAAATAA